ACTTTTTAATGTGCCCAGCACTTCCTGGAACTACAGCAATTCGCTCAAAAAAAATGTTGAAGACAAGAGCTTGTGAAGGTTACAAATTGCTAGGAGCTTAAAATTTGACAAATAAATTATCTGTGCTCTTAGAGTTTGATAAGAAAATTGTTTATTCTTTTCACTTAGCATAGTACAGTGGGAAAAAAGTGAGGTTTAGAGTCAAAACCCTTGGATTTGAGTTCTCATTCTACCGTTTGTTACCTGTATGTACTTCAGAAATGATGTGTCTGTGCTTCAGATTGTTCAACTGCAATGTGAGATGAATGGCATTGCTCAGAACTGTTCTGAGGATTAAATGAGATATTAATTTCTTAATGTTTGGGTCTAACATTCCAGATGACATCAACAATTGATATGAAAATTATGCTAATTTCTTTAATCAATTGAGGAGTCAATAGATACTGTTTTCATTTGTATTGATAATCAGAGAGTATTGGTTTTAGTATTATTTGGTTAACAAAAGTATCCATACCTGCCAAAACACTAGAGGAAAGCAAAAGTAAATATAGCCCACATGACAAAAGATAGAAAAGAAACAGCAAAGATGCATTAAAAAATAGCTAAACCAAGATGACTAATGTCAGATATACCTATAAAAGCTTTTGCACTCCTGTTAAAAAAGAAATTAAGCCAGGCGTGGTGGCTCGTGTCAATTATCCCAGCACCTTGGGAGGCTGAGGTGTGAGGATAGCTTGAGCCTAGGACTTCGAGACCAGCCTGGGCAACACAGGGAGACCTCATCTCTACAAAAAAAATACTAGCCGAGTGTGGTGGTGCATGACTGTATTCCCAGCTCCTCGGAGGCTGAGGCAGGAGGATAGCTTGAGCCAAGGAGTTCTAGGCTGCAGTGAGCTATGATCACACCACTGCCCTCCAGCCTGGGTGACAGAGAAGACTCTCTCTCAAAAAAAGAAAAAGAAAAAAGAAACAAAAAGGAAAGGAAAGGAAAGGAAAGGAAAGGAAAGGAAGAAGAATGGAAGGAAGGAAAAAAGGAAGGAAGGAAGAAAAAGAGATTAAAATGGAATAACATTTAATTGAACGCTGTTCATTAGAAATACATGTAAACCAAATGGCACAGAAAAGTCAAAAGCAAAAGGTTGGACAAAGAAACAAGAAGCAAATGCAAAGACAGAAGGGGGTAACAATAATAATTCCAGTTAAAGTAGAATTCAACAGAGGGAAAAAAACATTTAAAATCTGATAAAGGGATTCACTTTATTTTAATACAAGATCCAATATGCACAAAACGTTTAGTACATACATAAAGCTGTATGTACTAAATAATATAGCTATACATATATGAAAAAAGTGACCACAAATTTGAGGATAAATGGACATTTGTCTAAGACTTAGAAAGATAAAAAGACAAAAATACAAAGTATGCCAAAAAATAAGATTTGAATGGTCTGAATAATACAATCAATAAGATAGATATAATGTGCATATGTTAAACTTTATATGCTACAGAAGGCAGCAATGGGAACTTTAGAAATATTAACACAATTTAGGCCACACTAAAAACCCCAATAAATTCCTACAATGAAAATTGCACAGATCACACTTTGTGACCATGTTATAATTAAACTGGGCGATAAGAACAGGAAAAAAAAAAAACCTAAATCACATGGAAATTAAAAAGCTTTTTCCAGAATAACTGTAAACCTAAAGAAAAAATTAAAAATGCAAATACAAATTATTTCTAAAAAACAATCATGAAAATAATACTATTTATGAAAACTCATAGGATGAAGCCAATGTATGACCTCAGAGGTAGAGCTATAGTCTTAAAAACGTTTTGTTTTCTAAGAAATGAAATGAAAAAGAAAATAAAACATTAACCAGCCAATCAATTCAAGAAAAGAATGCAATGAAACCCGTCTCTACTAAAAAAAAATACAAAAATTAGCTAGGTGTGGTGGCACATGCCTGTAATCCCAGGTACTCGGGAGGCTGAGGCAGGAGAATCGCTTGAACCAGGAGGCGGAGGTTGCAGTGAGCTGAGATCGCACCATTGCACTCCAACCTGGGCAACAGAGCGAAACTCCGTCTCAAAAAAAAAAAAAAGAACGAAAAGAAAAAGAAAAAGAAAAAAGTAAAGAATGCAAAAGAGATGAACATTAGCCAATCAATTCAAGACAGTAATATAAGAATAAAGTAAATCTAAGAAAATGATAAGGCATACAAATTAATGTTTTAGAAAATAAATTGCAGATTATTATAGTTTTTATTTCTTTTGGAATGTTGAAAAGAAAAGGATGGGGATAAAGGAAATAGAAGTAAACTGAAGTTGTAGATTTGGTATAGTTTTATAGTGTTGTTCACAAGATACCTCTTTTTTTCAACTTTCTTGTGGCACTCGACCTTGATCCTTTTTTATTTATTTTTGAGAGTAACATCTAGTTTTCCCCTGCTGGTTATAAAGTAACACATGTTCATTGTAGATAATTTGGAAATTACAGAAAAGCATTAAGAAAAAATAAAAATGACCTAAAATCCTGTAATACACTGATGACAATTTCCTCTAAAAGATAACCACTATCCTGATTTTCATGAAAATCGCTTCCTTGCTTTTCTCTATCCTTTGGACACATAAGTATGCATACTTACACACCAGTTTGGTTTTGTCTATTTTTAAACTATACAATTGGCAACTCACAATATACATTCTCTTCTGTTTGACTTCTTTCCCACAATATTGCTTAGGCAATCTATGCATGTTGTTGCATGTAACTGTAATTTACTCTGGTTTTCATTGCTGTTAAATATTCCAATGAATGAATATGCCACAATTTTTATTCAGGATAATCCGATTGTTCCTAGTATTTTGCTATTATGAATAGTATTGCTATGAAATTTTTATACATGTCCCTTGGGTGTAAATTCCTAGGAGTACAATTGCTCGGTTCCCTAATTCTTAAGTTGAAAAAGACAGATAATGGTCATGAAGAAGAAAATGAAAAATAGATAAATTTTGAACATTCAATTTATTGTCAAAAATAGATTTTTTAAATTTTTTATTTTTAGATGAAGTCTCAGGCTGGAGTGCAGTGGTTTCACTACAACCTCCGCCTCCCGGATTCAAGTGATTCTCCTGCCTCAGCCTCCCAAGTAGCTGGGATTACAGACGCATGCCACCACACCCAGCTGATTTTTGTATTTTTAGTAGAGACGGGGTTTCGCCATGTTGGCTAGGCTGGTCTCTAACTCCTGACCTCAAGTGGTCCACCTGCTTCGGCCTCCCAAAGTGCTGCGATTACAGAGCTTGAGCCACCTTGCCTGGCCAAAATAGGTTATTAAGAGGAAAAATAATATTTTATTTCACACACAATAAAATTGGAACTTAAAATAAGTTTTTAAAATACCATTGGTTTATAGGAGCATAAACATAAAACAGAAATTCTGACTGTGTTTTGGTGGGGTAGTATCATTGATATTAGAATTTGATGATAGTTACAGAATGTCTTTCCACTAAATTGAACTTATAATAAAAGAAACATTTTAGTCCGGGGGCAGTGGCTCACGCCTGTAATCCCAGCACTTTAGCAGGCCGAGGCGGGCGGATCACGAGGTCAGGAGATCGAGACCATCCTGGCCAACATGGTGAAACCCCGTCTCTACTAAAAATACAAAAATTAGCTGGGCGTGGAGGTGCATACCTGTAATCCTAGCTACTCGGGAGGCTGAGGCAAGAGAATCACTTGAAGCTGGGAGGCGGAGGTTGCAGTGAGCCGAGATCGCATCACTGCACTCCAGCCTGGCAACAGAGCTAGACTCATTCAAAAAGAAAAGGAAAGGAACATTTTAATTCTCATACAGATTTAGGGTATTCACAGATCCCTGAAGCTCCTCTTTCAATCCAGTTGTAAAATACCTTAAAACTTGCCCTATAGTAAGTGATTATTGGAAAATGGGATAGTGCATCGTGTGTGTGTGTGTGTGTATGTGTGTGTGTGTGTGTGTGAGAGAGAGAGAGAGAGAGAGAGAAAGAGAGAGTCTCACTCTGTTGCCCAGGCTGGAGTGCAGTGGCATGAGCTCCGCTCACTGCAACCGCCGCCTCCATGATTCAAGCAATTCTCCCGCCTCAGCCTCCCGAGTAGCTGGGACTACCGGTGCATGCCACCATGCCTGGCTAATTTTTGCATTTTTTAGTAGAGACTGGGATTCGCCATGTTGGTCAGGATGGTCTGGAACTCTTGACCTCAGGTGATCCGCCTGTCTCAGCCTTTCAAAGTGCTGGGATTACAGGCGTGAGCCACTGTGCCCGGCTGAATACTGCATCTTTTAAGCTGCGTGTCTCCAACATCTTCACCCCTAAAGGATTCACCCATCGAAGGATGCAGTGACTCTCAGGCCTGCAATTGTAAAATTAAATCTGAGTGACTGGACTGGAAGACTTTGATTCTATAATCTATATAGCCCCTGAATTAGGCTTTCATAAGCCGTGCTATGAAGTAGAATTAATTTTCTGAGTGCAAGAAGTTTTTTTTTTTTCTTTCTTTCTTTATTGCAGAGGAGGTCTCACTATGTTGCCCAGGCTGGTCTCAAACTCCTGAACGCACCTTGGCCTCCCAAAATGCGGAGATCACCGGCGTGAGCCACCGCGCCCGACCGAGTGAGTCTGGTTAAAATCTTCATGCTTTAGATCCCTGAAACTTGGATGTACTCGTTAGCTCCAAGCTGAAGCCTTAGCTAAGGGATTTGGCCATTAGCTGAGCAACATATAAAGTCCTCCCTGATCTTCTAACTCCTTTTGAATTAAATTAGAAAGCCATGACGAAATGATCGTTTTGTTGAAGGCATACTACGTGTACACGGAGTATGCACGGAACACACAGTTCGCTTCAGGACATGGAAAAGCTCTCAGGAGTCAGTTCCTGCGCAGGCCTCACCTACCGGCTTCGAGCCTCCACGTGCAGGGCCTCTGGCTCCGCCCCCGGCGCAGTACGCAAGCGCGACTGCTTGCCTGGCTCCCCGCTCAGTGTGCGCACCTCGCTCGGGGGTGGTGCTGTGTTCCTGAGGCTTCCAGGGAAGACAGTGGGCGAAGTTCTGTACCGTGCTAAGATTGAGTCTGAGGAACTGACTGAGCAAAGAAGACAGCTCAAGGTTTGTGGGGAATGTGGCGGGTGAGGAGAGGAGGTTGAGCAGCTCGTTGGGTGTGAGATAAAATTAAGGAGTGAAGAATGTTAATTATGGGGAGTCTCAGACGCTACTCTTCTGGCTCGGGGGCTTCCCGATTAAATTTTTTTTTAATAATAAATTTTAAAAATGTTAATTATCATTGATTCAGGGACTCTGGGGCCAGGGCAGCCAACTCTACAGGTGAAATGCTGAGCTTTCCTCAGATGCGCGGATTCCCGCGCTTTCGCTCTCCCTCTGCCCCCGCTGAGCCCCACGGAGCTGGCCCTGCGTCCTTGTTTGCAGCTGAGGAGAAACTCGCTGCTCTGAGGCAGCGAGAAGAGAAAGCCACACAACTTGGTGGTGGCCTCAGCCTCGCCCCTGGATCCCTGGAGGCACAGTTTGTAGTCAGCAGAAGGCAGCGCTGGGCAACCGGGTTGCGCGGGGCGCGTGGATCTCCATGGCGCGCGTGGAAGTCTCCATGGCGCGCGTGGGAGTCCCCGTGGCGCGCGGGGATATCTGCGGGGGCGGGACGGGGGGCGGGGCTTCATGGAGGCCCCGCCCCGCCCGGGACCGCAATTCGGGACTCGTGCGGGACTCGCGACCCCAGAGCGCTGAGGCAGGGAACGCCGACCCGGTGACTGGCGGTCCGCGCGCCTCGTCCTCCCCTGCAGAGCCCGCGCTCGGACGATGCCCGCCGGCCGCCGGCTGTCTCGCTGCAGGAGCCGGTGGACGCGGGGGAGCCTCGGTAGGTGAGGGCGGCGCGGGGGCGTGGGGGTCGCTGGGCTCCGACGCGGGCGCCTGAGGGGAGCGTCCCCCGACTGCATGAGGACTGGCGCGCCCGGGATGCGGTGCCGCGTGTCCCGGCGCTGTGGCGGTTGTAAGGCTGAGTGGAGGTTTTGCGGGGCTGCTTCGCCCTGGTGGCTCTTGGCTTCCTGGCTCGGCTCTGGGAAGGGAGTGAAACCCCTCGGGTCCCGGCGTAGTGCGGGTGCAGGAAGAGAGTCCTGCCTCAGCTTCGTGTGAGCCGCGTCCCAAGCCCAGCCCTGCGCAGATCCTTTCAGGCAGTTTCCATCGTCTCCTATTGCGCTCGGGGTTGAGTTTCCGCGTTTGGAATGCTGGGTTTGAGGCGCACGGCCACCGCGCTGGCTGTGTCGGGAGACAGTGCCCAGGGATGATGATCGAGAAAGTGGAGAAGCTGAGGTCGTTGGCAACTGGGAGGCTTTGAAGATACTACGGTGCCCTTCAAGTTCAAAAATGGTGAGCTCCAAGGGCAGTGTGAAGCACCCCAACGCCCTAAGTGCACTGATTGCTTTTGGGGGTGATGGGTGAATATGGGACTGTTTCATAGTATGAAGTAGAAGTGGTACCATTATTCGCTTGTTTTAATTTTTGAATTTCCTTTTTGACGACTCTGTGTGTTGGTGGAGAAGGAAGAGAAGTGATACAAGCTTTGGCGAGCGCGGTGGCTCAGCGCCTGTAGTCCTAGCATTTTGGGAGGCCGAGGCGGGCGGGTCGCGTGAGCCCAGGAGTTCGAAACCAGCCTGGGCAACATGGGGAAACCCCTTCTCTATCAAAAAAAAAAAAGAAAATAGCCGGCGTATTGCCACGCGCCTGTAATCTCAACTACTCCGGAGGCTGAGGCACGAGAATCGCCTGAGTCTGGGAGTTTTAGGTTGCAGTGAGCTGAGATTGCGCCACTGCACTCCAGCCTGTGCGACAGAGAGACTCTGTCTCAAAAAAAAAATAAAAATAAAGTGGTACAAGTTTTAATTAAAATGTCATTGAGTTCACATTGAGAAAATAGTTAAATTTATTGGATATGTTTTAAAGGTTTAAGGGTTCATCCAAAATACATCATCGCTGCTTGAAAGGAAGAGTTCGTTTTAACGTTTGAAGTTAAGGGAACTGGAGGAGTGAAATCAGTATTTAGAGATACGTATAATGCTTTGTTATTGCTCACTTTTTAAAAAGCCTTTAATTAAAAAACAAAACGTAAATCTTTCTTTACCTTATTGTAGATATTTAAAAATCTGAACCCTTCCTAATCATAAAGATGTCAGAATTTGAGGGAGAGTGTTAAGCATCAAAACCCATGTATGTTTTCTTTTTTAAATAAATTATTTGGGTGGGTGCCAAATAATGCCTTGTAATCCTAGCACTTTGGGAGGCCAAAGTGGGAGATTGCTTGAGGCCAGGAATTCAAGACCAGCCTGGGCAACATAGTCCCCGTCTCCACCAAAAAAAAAAGAAAAAGAAAAAAGAAAAAACAGCCAGACGTGATGGTGCAAGCCTGTGGTCCCCGGCTATTTGGGAGGCTGAAGTGGGAAGATTGCTTCAGCCCGGGTGGTCAAGGCTGCAGGAAACTGTGATCCCATCACTTGCACTCCTGTGCGACAGAGTGAGACCCAATGAATTCTATAAAAGAATTCATGGAACTAGGCACACGTAAGAGATTACCTGTAGGAGTCTTATCAGCCAGTAGGAAGAAAGCGTAAGAACTTCCATTGATACTTTTTGAAATTTTAATCCTAGGAGCTAGTGATAATTTCCGCTTTAGTATATGGCTTTAGTATGTTAAAAAATGTTTTACACAATCAGTAAAGTATAATTATAGTGCTTTTACTCAATTTCAGGAGATCCGAAGGTCAGTTTTTCTCCCAGCACACCTACTAGTGTACCTGGGCACTTTAACGGTTTTTTTTTTTTTTGCTTGTTTGTTTTTAATTGTACTGAAGGATGATATACTATACTGGATTGCAAATTTTTTTAAGTTGGAGAAAACAATCATGATTTTCACAGTACCCAAAAATTTTGGAAAATTGGCAGTTATAATTTTTGGTAAATGTACTGCTTTGGTCTGCTTTTGCTATGTTCTTCTTTCTCATTTATTTCAAAATACCTTGGCTTTATGAAGGATGATATAGGGGATTTGAAGTGCCTACGTGTTATCCTGTTAGGTCTCATGGAATCTCATTAAATCTCCAGCCCCTGAATGTGTTGCGAAGTTGGGATTAGTTTTCCTCTAAATCTATTAAATGTGATACCAAAGGTGAAAAATAACCTAATCTTCTTTCGTTTGTATTTTGTTACCTGTCTTTATCAAAGAGGAAGTAATTTTTTGGTTCAATTAAGCATGTTTAAAATTGATGTTCTGTGGTGATTTACTCTTGCTTTGTAATAATACTTCTAGCTTTATAAAGTTAGTCAAATAGTAGGGCGAGATGATCAGAAATTAACTTTTCAGAAATAGCTCTATTTCACAAAGGGAGGTAAACTTGCATGACAAACTGAGCAAAGTTCAGAAAATTTAAAACTTATACATAAATTTGATGATTGCTTTAATGAACAACTTTGCTTATTAGGATAGTCCCCGATGTCTGGTAGCAATCCTATATCCTTGGAATGTGTAATCCACATAATGCAAAGCCTTTGTAATTACTGCCCTTTGAAAGTAATGATAGCTAGCTGCTCCTGATGGGGGTCGGGGGAGGGGTTGGGGGGGGTCTGTCTTTAATTACAGCAGCTGAGACTTTGGCACAGATGCAGTTACTGCTTTCACCAGTGTGACTGTGAATATATGTGGACAATTAAATCCTTATCCAAACCTAGTTTTGCATAGCTTTGTTCGTGCCTATTAGACCCTAGGTATACAAAACATATTTTGATTTTTAAGGTTTATCTGAGGTTTAATTAAGCTGCTGTATTTAAACTTGAAGATTTTTGAGGATAATGATTAATAAAATCACTGATTTGAGTAGCTCATCCTGATATAAATCTAAAACTACACACACTCACTCTTAACGTGCCTCAAGGGGGGAAACTTTGCCAATGAAAATAAAATTTCATTTCTTTTATGTGTTTAAAAGTGCAAGCTTATGAGCTCTGGTACATTTACAGTTTGCACAGCAAGACTTTAAGGATGTGTGAGAGAGAGAATATGAATGCAGAAATGGCATTTTTATATTAAAACAACAGGAACCATGGTAATCCAGTTTTCTAGAGGGTTCTTAGGGATACATGGACTTCAGTGATTACTTGAAGCCCCTAACTGTATGCAAAAATATGTGGATTGTGTTAATTTTTGTTGAAGAAAAGATGTATGACTTCATCAGATTCTTTAAAGCATGTGAGACACCCCTCTTATCAAAAAGTTAGCAGTAATATCGATAGAGGATCACATTTCAGTTTTATGAACTGAAGTAGCTAAATAGTGAAAGAGCTAGGATTCAAACATGTTTTTAACTGCCAATCCTTCACTTCTTTCGTTAGTTCACATTTACTGGACCTTGTAACCTCTTTTCTGGATGGGGCCATGTTCACTCTGTGGCTTACAGTAAAGCCTTGTTTAGAGAGAGACTTCAAGCTCATGTAAGCATTTAATGTAGGATCATAGCAAGAACTATGAGAAAAAAATGAATTATATGTAAAGGAGACATATAGGCAAATATTTTCTTGATATATATAGATGAAAACATTCCTATAAATTTTGTGCCATTAATATAATAGAGCAAGTCAAAAGAGAGAAAGCAGGCCAGCACAGTGGCTCACACCTGTAATCCTAGTATTTTGGGATGCCGAGGCAGGAGGATCGCTTGAGTCCAGAAGTTGGAGACCACCCTTGGCAATATAGCAATGCCCTGCCTCTACAAAAACTTTAAAAATAAGGTCAGGCACAGTGGCTCATGCCTGCAATCCCAGCGCTTTAGAAGGCCAAGGTGGGAGGATCACTTGGACTCAGGAATTCAAGACCAGCCTGGGCAATGTAGTGAGGCCCCCATCTCTGCAGAAAATTTAAGTATTAGCGTGACGTGGTGGCACATGCATGTAGTCCCAGCTCCTGGGTAGAGGGGGAAGGTTGCTGAGGTGGGAGGATCACTTGAGCCTGGGAGGTCAAGGCTGCAGTGAGCCATCATCGTGCCACTTCACAGCAGCCTGGGTGACAAACGGAGACGCCTGTCTCAAAAAATAAAAATATATATATATATATG